CTTTATTTAGTTATACCTCTTTAATTAATTATAATATATTACTTTCTTATAATATGGCTTTGGTTACACATCTCTTAAATTCTCACACTCAAATTGGCTGATTCACTATTGTAAAGTTCTGAGAATTCACTTGTCTGAAAACAACATGTTTTAGGGAAACCACTTATCAACCAAAAACACTTCAGATTTCTTAAGGAAACGTACCGGTCCTTTGTGTAGAAAGTTAAAGATGATAATTTAAGTTTAACTTATTCCTATGCGTGGAGGTCCAAAGAACAAACGAACCACCCTAGTTGACTTTCATATACACGCATTTTTGTTTGTTGTTAATAATTTTTTGTTAACAATCCATTCCTATATAATCAGTGTGCAGTCATTCAATTTTTGGATGCTGAACGTTTAGAACCATTGCAAAATCATACGCCAATGCAAGGAGAGTATGGGAACGATGTTTTACGTATCCAAGTGTCAAAAATTTAAGAGTGGAAAAGAAGAGACGAATGACTTCGTGGCCAGATAATAGACACGAATGTAGAATGTTTGAGGGCTTGATTAGACAAAATCCTGGAATTTCAATCAGAGAAATTTCAGAAATTGTTGGGATAAGTACAGAATCTGACCATATTATTGTACACAAACTATGCAGGCTTATTTTTAGGTATTTAGTTTTGTTGGTGTTTGTTCTTACAATCATTGTTGCAGCCACTTCTTCTCTTTATCTGCCGCTTCTGCTACATGCCTCTCGTATAAAATATTCCTACAAAAAATATTAATATCACAAGCATAGGCAAGATTTGCACTGATTTGTTATGTATTGAACCAGTGGGTGTGATATGTAACCTACGTATTATTTTTTCTAGAGCCAGATTATTTGTTTTAAAAAGTTTAGACAGTTCCCTCTAGATTCGTACTCTACATTAAACTTTTAACTTCAAAACTGATTTGTCACTCGTAGGTATTTCATTACCCTGAACATTTCCTTCTATTAATAGAGTCGTAGGCTGCCTTGTAATCTATAATTTGTGGTGAGTATTTATGTAATATTCCAGTGTTTCTTCTAAAGTTTTGGTGTTATAAGTCTAAGGGTTGCCATCTGATGGATGGTTGATTTACCTTGTTATTTTTTTATTATTCGTTCTGCATATGGTACCATACGGTGACACAGTCTAGTAGAAAATATTTTATATACATTTAGAAGCGTAATTCCTCTGCGGTTAGAGCATTCAAATGTATCTTCCTCTTTATGTATGCAAATTATTCCTATATTCCAATCACTGCGGAGGAATTTCTGTATCCAAATTTATTTTATATGCTTTTGTAGTACCATTATAATATCGTGGTCACCTTCTTGTTATGGTTCTACTGAGAGATTATCTATTGCTGGTGATTTATTTCTGGCTAGTTTTTTGAAAAACTTTATGAATGAAGAAATGACTTGATGAAGACATGAACTATATGAATGAAAAGCTTTATGAAATGCACATACGATTACATATTTGAAAATATATTTTCAAATTAGTACCCGCTTAAGTACTTGAGTACCATTTGTGTGAGACTTTATTTAAGCATAGCTTATTACGAATACAACTTTTTAAACAAAAATAATGATGGTATGTTAATGTATATAACATTCAACATGTTCTACGCCACTGTTCGTTGTAAACCCACGAGGGGTAAGTTCGGTTTAATTAAAAATCCCTCGGGCCCTTTTTCAGCGATTATATTGGAACTATTCGTAACAATGTGCACTTGCTCCTTTGGAATTTTCATTCTGGAGTTTGAATGATTGCCTTGGATTTGGAAAAAACGTGTGATTAATGTTATAACTTACTGGAGTAGGAGTTTGGTTAACAAAAGAGGACGCAGAAGGGAGAAATTTATTATTATTTATCACCGAGTATATAAATATTAATGAATTATGAATAGGTAGTATTTTTAATAAAAGTGGCGGTTATTAACAAATTCTAAAGGGACAAATTTTTTATCGTGTTATGTAGAATGTGTTTTGAACAGATTTCTCCTGATTGTCCTATGTAAATATTACAAATTAATATCAGTACATATTTCAAAATTTATATATTTTAATTTTGCTTGTTTAGATTATTATTATACTATTATTATTATACTATTTATACAAAAAGCTGGTGTGATTTGAACCAAGTATTTTTTTAATTGTTTAGACTGGTAGACAAATATGTTTAACTTTAATAGACCTTTTATTTACTGCTATTTGTTTAGCCGCCATCTTGAATTTTTTTAAATAGCAACGTAGGTTGACTTATAGATAGTAGATAGTAACTTAGTGCAATAATAAATAATTAACTAATTGAAGAAACTTTCTTGAAAATATTAAACATGTAATTTTATACACAAGGTATTTTACAACTCATAACACTAGTATACAAATCAACTAAATTAAATTTTTTCTTTACAGTAAATGATCAAAGTGTTGTCTATTTATTTGTTGAGAGTGATACAATCTATTGTGAAAGCTGCGAATATAATTGTTAATCATGTCTACAGTAATTAACTTTTAAATCATTTAGGTTAGTTGGTATGTTAATACAAACGCGGTTTTCAATTAACCTCACAGAAAAAATTAAGTGGTGTCAAATCGGGTGTTCATGCCGGCCACTATATCATGCCTCTTCGGTCAACCTAACGTCCCTCTGATGATGTGAAGGTGCACTCTTCTGTTGAAAATATACAATTATGTTTGGAACTAAATGGTTGATATCAGGTATAATTTGATTTTGAAAAAGGTCGAGATATTTGGCTCTGGTTAGCGTACCTAAGCATAAAAAAGGACCAATTAAATAGTTTTTTACCAAACCAACCCAGCCATTAATTTTTTCTGGATATTTTGTATGAATCTCCTCCATCTGACCAGTATCGAGAATAATTTAAAATTATCCATTTAAACAGAATGTGGCTTCATCACTTAATACAACAAAATCTAAAAAATTGTGTTGCGTCTTTATTTTCTTTGTTACCATTTCACAAAATTCTAATCAGCAATCAAAATCATCTTCCACCAATTCTGGGTGCCGTACTATAAGCCTATATAAGAATGTCATGGTTGCGGAATTTGAGAGAGTGGTTTGGCTGCACCACTAATGAACTCTTTAGGTCAGCCGTAAACAAGGTCAGAATAGCCTTGATGATTTCCAATCTCCGATAGGAGTGGCACAAAAAGAAGAAGACTATAAGCCTCATGAGCTTCATAAGAAACGTGCCATTTCTATCACTGCTTGCTAAAATAAAACAATAAATATCTTAAATTTAACATTAAATCACAATTATCTCCAAAAGTATTAACTTTAGGTCTCTCTCTCTCTCTCTTGTCGTTTCAATATTTCTAATAATGTTTCTTCTTTGGTCTCTATCTTCAGCTACTCTAAGAGCTTCGCAGCTGAATTCTTAATTTGGTCAGACCATCTAGGTGGTGATCGTTCGCTTGATCTTCTCCTCAGAACGTTTCCAGAAACAATTAATCTCTCCAAACTATGATCACTTTCGCGAACCACATGACTGAAAAATTGTAGAATACATTGCAGACATATTGCGGACAGCCTTTTTATAATGTTGAGTTGGGTTAGAATGGAAACATTTGTCGTATAAGCTGTCCAAGGTATGCGCAGCATTCTTCTTGTCCGTGAAGAGTCCAAGTCTCCACCCTCTATAGAAATATTGAGAATACAAGGGCATTCACCAGTCTCATCTTGATATTTTGAGAGACAGCTCTTTCCAAACTTAAGTTAGGCGACTTATCGCATGTTTTGCCATAATCATATGTCTCCGAACTTCTGCTTCAAAGTTACCAGCGTTAGTTACAGTAGACCCAAGATAGACAAAACTGTCCATTATCTGGTATTCCTGTAACATGTTACTCAGTTGCATAATGTAGAATCTATCGACCACCATTATTTTTGCCTTAGCTTTATTGATTTTCAGACAAACTTTTTTTTTAGGTATGGGGAATACTATTTGAAGGACAACCAACCTATTGTTTCACCAAAATTATAAAATAGACGGTGTTTTATTTAAAATTATTGATTTACTGTGATTTGAAGTTAAAAAAATGGCGTATATTTGTATTTAAAAATTTAATTTCAGTAGAGATGCCTGAAAGATGGTTACCTCTTCTTTATCTGCTAAGGTTTACAAGAGATGATGATTGTAAATGGATGATACACTAACTTTAAAATGTTTAATAAAAAAATATAAAGTTTTGACCTATAGTACCTTATACAAATTTTGTCTAGAATTTTATATAGAATCTAAAAATGCAATAATATAATCAATTTGTTGTTCATGTCCAGTATAACCGTAAGTGTCATGTCTGTTAAAATATTTTCTGTAAGTTCATCATAACTTGTAATCCAGATATCCATTTTCATAAATATCTTGTCAGTAGTTTTCGATATATAGATAATATAAGCTTGTCGTGCGATACCTTGTACCTGTATCGATCCATATAATTGAACAGTTATTTTATTTCATATTTTATAATATAAGATCTATCATGTAAAGAAAATATAAGATTAAGCCAATTATAATACTCAATATCAATTATTATTTACATAATTCAAAAATCTATTTACACTATATACAGTGTAACCTACAGTAAAAAACAATTTAGATTCCCGTTCATGTTCATTGATTGATAATTCAACACACTTCATCAAAGTCAAAATAATTTTTCATGAAAATAAAGCCCTCTTCACATTGCATTATTATTAATAGCGTATTCTCAGCGAAATCTTCACCCGAGGGACTATTTCCGTTCACCAAAGGAGACAAGGGTAATACCGGTAATACCGCACTAAATAAACCAAGGGAAATGGGATTAGTGTTAAAATATTTCAGTGGTGTCAAACATTGACGTACGGAAAAAAACGGCAAAAAGAAGAAAAATTTCGTTTATTTTCTTTATAGTTTGGCACCTATAAACCACGTTTGTAAATAATGACTCTCGTTTGCTTTTTTAGGCACTATACCTGTGGTCCAAATTGTTTTTCGTATATCAGTAGATATATCGATACCATAAAGTATAGCAATTTTATATACAACTTGCATTTAATCAAACATTTTAGCATTATCAATTGCACTTAAGGATTTTGACCTGTGTTGTATTGTCTCCACTTCGTTTTTAGGCTAAGTGGCCATTACTATAACTAAAACAAATCCCGAGCATTAAAGATGTGATGAAGTTGGGTCTGAAATGATAGATAAAATGGCAAAAAAAGCCAGAATTAGGTTTACAGCATTAGAAAATCACCCAAGCCCGAAAGCACAGTATAAGAGGTTCCATGCCCGAAAGCACAAAAGTCCAAAACAGCAAATCTGGCAAACACATAAAGTCTAGATAATTCGTAGCTCTACCAACAGAAGAAGCCCCAGCACACAGCACTGGATTTTTTTTAATATATAAACCAATTTAATGATATTCTTTTATTAATATTTGTAAATTATAAAATACAAAACGCTAGGGCACCTTGAGGTTATGTTTGTTCACTGATTTATTGTAAAATGCTCGGCTGGGAGGACTGGAACATACCACGCGTGGGAGGTCTGGGACATTGTCCCAGACTTCCCCTGTTACATTATTTTTAATTTGATATTATTTAAATTCTTTTAATAGTATATTTTTGCTTTGTTAGAGTGTAAGATGCCTCATAAGTGGTAGAAGAAAAATGCTGAGAGGACTGCTCCATTAAAGTCTCGCATTATGGAGGTCATTTGGCAGATTAAAGAAGGAAACAGTAGAAGGCAGATAGCAAAGACTTATAGTATTTCAAAATCGGCTCTTCAACGCCATTTGAAGAAATATGATTAAGCTCTTAACAAGGAATGCATTGTTTTTTGTTCTAATTTGATATGTCGTATGGTATTATCAAAAAAGCAAATATTGGCTCTAGTAGAATACATCCTGGTTGCAAGTAGACTGCATTATAGTTTAACATCAGTTCAGGTCAGAATTCTAGCAAGGCAATATGCAAGTGCCCTGAAATGTAAACTATGCAATTCATGGAAAGTTAACCAAATGGCAGGATATGACTCGTTCAAAGGCTTCAGGGAACGCCCAAAGAACTTTCGCTAAGGTCTCCAGAAGCTACAAGTCTGAGATAGGCAACAACTTTCATTAAAATCAATGTTGATATGTTCCTAAATAACTTAAAAACTATCTATGAAAAGTATAAGCTCACCCTAAATCGTATATTTAACTGTGACGAAACGGGAATAAGTACAGCCAATATTATGAATAAGCGTGGTGAAAAGCAAGTAGGACAAGTGACATTGGCTGGAAGGGGAGAGCAAATCACTGGCCTTTTTATAGTAAATGCAATAGGAAACGCTTTACCACCTGTACTTGTGTTTCCCAGAATCAGATATAAGGACTTTTTCTTAAATGGCGCACAAATCATCATACAAAATGCACTAAGGAATAAATAATATTGTTAATTTTGGACAAGTACGAGAGCCATGTGGATTTATATTTATAACGTTTCCACCCCATTGTAGTTATAGACTGCAGCCTTTCGATGTGTCTGATTTTGCCCCATTTAAAAGTCAATATAACAAAGTTTGTGATGATTGGCTACTGACTTACCCAGGCAAAAGCATCTATTGCATATATTCATCTATTACATAGGTAATTTTGTGGAACAAGCTTACCTTTTGACTGTAACGCAGAAGAACATTACTGCTGGTTTTTGAAAGACTGGCATATATCCTTTGAACAGTGAGCCATTCACCGAGGCAAAATTTCTAATGTCTTCAGCCACTGACCGACCTCCTTCATCTGCACAAGCAAATGGTACTTCTTCCTCAGCAGAAGAAGAATATTCAGAAATTGACCATACAGCCAGTTCACATAATTCCACAAAATATCCTTCTACTTTTAAAAAATAACTTCTTCAACAACTTATAACGCCAATGAAAATCCTGATTACACCTGAGCAAATCCGACCATTTCCTAAAGCTGCACAACGCAAAGAAGCTCAAAGAGGAAGGAAGAGAGGCAGAAGTCGTATTTTAACTAGTACACCAGAGAAAGCAGAGGCCGAACGATTAGCTCTCGAGAGTCTGGTGAGAGAAAGAAAGAAGTCTGGTAAATAATCTGTAGTCATCCGCAATCTACCTAATAAGAAGAAAGTTTGTGAAGATTTTGAGTCTTCGTCCGAGGAAGTACAAATTCCATATCAAGATATAGATGATGATCTAGAAATATCTCTGAGTTCTGAGGAGGATAAAATGGACGAAATAGATTGAAATAATAATTCTGTGAATCTTAAGACTAACGATATTGTGCTTGTTAAATTTTGTATTTAAAAGTCTGTTGTTCATTATGTTGGGAGAGTGTTGAAGTGTGATTCATTTGATGAAGTTGAAGTTCAATTCATGCGTAACAAAGGAGGAATCTGGAAATTATATTTTCCGAATGTGGGGGTCAATAGCGTTATTGAGAAACAAGATATATTGCTTAAATTACCTGCACGAATATCATCTGGAGGTACAAAGAGAGTAAAATCATTGTTTGTATTTCCGGTTAAATTGTCAAAATACAATGTACAATTAAAAAAAGTTTCTATTGTGTTGAAAAAACATCCTGTCCCTGACCTCCCTAGTAGAGTCCCACTCCTCCCAATTGTATGGGTGGTATGGGACATTTGCAGCTCCTCACACTACCCATTATACTTCATTTTAAAGAAGACTTATATCAGTTATTAATACCTATATAATAATAACTAAAAAAAAATTATTCAAAAAGTGTCCCACGTCTCCCACCTCTCTCCTATTTTGTTAGATATCTTTCATGCAGGTTTTTAATTTAAACCTACTAAGATTAAATATATAATGCAAAACAATAATATAAAAGCACTTAACCAGATAGAAATTTTTTTTAAATTGCATGAGTTGACTAGAAAACTACACAAATACTTAAATAGTTTGTAAAATAAATTTAAACTTGTATCTTATGGGTCTCCCAGTCCCTACACCAATGTACGTCCACGCTATCTAGGAGCGCGTTGTTTGGTTTCTCCCCAGCTCCCTCTATATTTAAATTGCTACATGACGGTTTTGTGGAATGCGGGAAAATTTCATGGAAGAAAAATGGAAATTGAATGTTTGGAGGGCCTGGAAATTCAAACTCGTGTGAAAGCTGCTGTCAGACGAATGAACTTCCGGATCTTTAATGATAAATCTTTGTTCAGAATATACCCAGACATTTGAAAAACGAGCAACTTTCGCTTGTGAGGAATGATACACAAATTTAAAGATATTTTAAATATTAGGAAAGCAGAAGGAATACTAAATAATAAGAAAATAATTTAACTGGGAGCAAAATGTGTATTTAAATCTGAAGGATCGATTATAAATCTATTCTATATAATTTTACAGTACAAATGTCAAAGATCCACTTTATATAACGTCTAAGACCTGAAAAACTTTTTTAATAATAGTTGAATAGCATATTGCTCCCTAATCTAATAATCTAATTTACTACGGATAGATAGAGATAGAAACTGAGGTTTGTTGAATGTTACGTCTGGTCCCAACTACTGTACGGGGTAGAAACATTGACGTTCAAAGCGCAAATAGTTAAGAAGCACGAAGCCTTTGAACTTTGGATATACCGGAGAATGTTGAAAATTCTGTCTATTTTCCCCTGGACAATCAATTGACGTAGACGGTACTTATCGTGTCTCAATATGTGGCCTAGATATTCAAGCTTTCTTTGTTTAATTGTGCTCGTGATTTCTTGCTTCTTTCCGATTCTTTGGATTACCTCTATGTTGGTGACATGTTCGGTCCATGATATATGAAGAATGCGTCGGTACACCCACATTTCGAATTATTATTTATTTGAAAAAGAAAGCAAATATTTGATTTCACGCAAACAGCGCCTTTGTATCTGTTGATACGTATTTCGACCTAATAGGTCTCATCAGAACCGTTATTCAAAGGTGTTCTCAACGTGAAAGATCAATATTTTCTGTCTTTTAAGAAGCAAGACTAAAATGGCTTCGATACGGATGCAATAGCGACATCTGATAATAAAAACGTAAAATACTTTCGAAACACAATTCAGATTTCTGCTTTAATCTGTGCTTTCCAAAATTGCAAAGCAAAACAGACGTTGATGAAGCTGTTAAAAGAGACATGGGGAATCTAAAATTTGCATTCTACGACACGTCTTTTCAACTAAGCAGAAATCTTTAGCGAATTGGTTTCTTGTACTCTTACAGAGTAGATCCGAATAAAATGAAAACGTGAAAAATATTTGAGGGATCATGTTACGGTAAAACATATTATGTTCTACTCAGATAATGGTCCTGGGCAAAATAAAAATAAGTTTATATGGGCTCTTTACTGCTACATTGTACTAAATACACAATATTGAAAGCATTACTCATAAGTTTTTTGTGGTAGGACAGACTCAGAACGAGGGCGATGCATTGCTAGCTTTTATAGAACGTGAAAAAAAAGACGTGCTGTGAAAGGAAGTCCACTGCATATGCATTCACATCTAACAAGTATAATAAAATTTGCAAAGAAAAACGGAAAACCCTATATTCCTAACAAATTTCGAGATTTTAGGGAAATTAAAGCTTTGGTTAAAAACACATATCAATATACCAAAAATAACAGCGGAGAAACAACTAAATGCAGTGATGAAAAAAATCAGCTCTCACACAATTTTATAAAAAAAATCATTTTTTTCGGAAAGAATTCAAAAGTATAAATGTTGATCGGAGAACAAGAGGACAGCAGGACTTCAAACTAAACCCTGCTTATAGCTATCCCCCAGGTATTTCACATTTAAAGAAAAAAGACCTGATTTCCTTGTACAATTCTGGATCGATCCCAATAGCATATTGGGATTTTTGTCACGGCCTTCCTGTAGGCTCCCTCCTCAACGTTAGACGAAGGAAACATATTATCAGATTAATAAAGTAAGGTTTTGTAGTATCTTTAATAAATATGGAATCATGCGTTTTTATTCAAACAAATCTCATACCTCATTTGAACTTTCAATGAAAAATCTTTTGATCCAAAGTGTAACAACTAAA